CTCAGAGATCTATCTGTCTGCCTCTGCCTGCCGAGTGCTGGGATTTAAAGATGCGCACCACAATTTCCTGATCTTCAGGTCATTTTGAAATATATTGTAGAGTTAAAAAAAAACAAAAGTGTGTGTGGGCATGGTACATATGGAGGTCTGAGGGCAACTTGAGGGAGTCAGTCTCTCCTTCCACCATTTAGGTCTTGGGGATTGAACTCGGGTTGTCAGGCTTTATGGTAGGTGCTTTTATGCACTAAACCATCTCACCAGCCCGATCATGTTTTTAACTAAGTTACTGTCCTTTGCTAAAGTAGCAAGGAGTCACTCCTCCACTGTTTTGTTAGCCCTTATTTAACTTCTCTGCTTAGTTTACAATGGCCATTTCTGTTCTTCTGAGATTGCATTATTAGTTTCCACATGGAACTGAGGTGGTATTTGTCTATGTCAGGCTTATTTCACTTAATAGAATGGTTCCAAGTCTCTGCATGTTTCTGCATCTGGTAAGATTCCATTCTGAGTGATGTGCCAAAACAATTATATCAGCAGCTGTCCCATCAAATACCAATACTTCTTCATAGAAGTAGCTTTTATATCTAGTGGTGGAATTACAATATCATATAGCAAAAATTCATTTTTAAGTTTTTCTGAGGAATTTCCAGCTTTTTCTGTATTGGCTGTACAAATTTATATTGCCACCAATAGTGTAAGAACTCATCCATCACTGCTGGCACTTATTTGTGATGGCAGCCATTCTAATGGGTGGACAAGATTTCATTGTTTTTGTGGTTTTGACTTGTATTTCCTTTATTAGTGAGGCTGCACAGTTTTTCATAAACTTATTGGCTAATACACTTCAGATTTTAGCTTACTTTAATTGAATTGTTTTCTTTATATTCTGGACATTAATGTCTTAGTAGATGAAACTCGTATTCTCTGAATTATTTCCTTTGCTGTGCAGAAACTTTTTAGTGTAATATAATCTCACTTGTCTATTTTTGCCTGTGCCTTTGGGATTTTAAGACATCATTATACAACTTCTTGACATGTTCCTCCTCTATTTATTAGTAATTCCAACATTTCATTTTACATTTGGGTCTTCAATGAGTTTTGTTTATATTCTATTTTTGAGACAGGGTCTTCCTATAGCCCCAGCTAGCCTGGAACTTGCTATGGAGATGAGTTTGGCCTCAATCACACAGAGATCCAACTGCCTCTGCATGTTGAGTACTGGGATTAAAGGTGTGCGCCACCACTCTGAGCCTGGTTACTGTAATTTTAAAGTATATTCAGAAGTCAGGTTTTGAAATGTTTCTGGTTTTCTTGCCTCAGGTCACTCTATTTGAGTTCTTTTCCAATTTCATGTGAATTTTAGAATTTTTATTTCTATTTCTGTGATGATGTATTGGTATTCTGATGGGGCAATAGCTTGTGACATAATGAAATTATAACTGTTACTCAATATTTCTTATCACAGACTATCAGCAGAGTAATTTGAGTAACTTAAAATACACTTCTGCCTGGGGCTGGAGAAATGGCTCAGTGGTTAAGAGCACTGGCTGCTCTTGCGGAGGACTGGGGTTCAAATCCCAGCAACCACATGGTGGCTAACAACTTCCTATAACTCCAGTTCCAGGAGATCTAACATCCTCATCTGACCTCTGTGGGCACTGCATGACACAAGTACACTTACAGGTAATACATTCATACACATAAAATAATAAAAAATTTTAAAAATAAACTGCTGTCAAAAGGCAGAACTAAAGAAAGTGGGGTTAAGTACTAGAAGGATAAATCTACACACTCAAACCCAGGAAAATGACAGACTCTACCTTGCCTTCATAAGTCTCATGATAATGCAAGGGCAGATGTTTTATAAATTAACTACCTTCCTAAGTACAGTAAAATCATTGCTTTATTACTGAGTTCAAATGGCAGTGGCTTTTGATGTATCTGTATTCATATCAATAATTTTATTTAATTACCTGAAACAGAACAATTCCAATAGACAGAACTGGCTCTGAAAACACATTCTAGTTAATGCTATCATTTGCTGATATCACTACTAAGAATTTGGATTTTCTAAGTTTTTCCCTTTCCTGTTCCTTAGTTATTGATATAAAATATCACTTTCTTACTGCTGAAAGATAGGCATTTTTTGTTCATTTTTCCAAAGCATATACCAACATTTATTTTATAAATTTCTTGGTGGTTAGCATAGACCTGTTTGCCGATTACTTTTAGGGTGACATGTCCCTAGTTAATGTATACAAATAACTAGTTAATGCAACTGGGTGGCTGATGCAGGCATTCCTAGATCAAATACTGGCCAGTATTTGCAAGGGAACTCAAGACAGTGAGAATTTAAGTGCAAATGTGTGTTTTTTTTTTAAAATATGTGAATGTGCACCTGTGTGCTATGCATATGGAGGCCAGAAGTTGATGTTGGGGTTGGAGGGTCTTCCTCAACTTCTGTTCACCTTTTTTTTTTTTTTTAATTATAAATTTTTTTTTTGAGACATGGTCTCACTGTACAGCTCTGGTGGCCTGGAACTCACTATGCAGACCAGGCTGGCCTTTTAAACTCATGGAGATCCGCCTGACTCTGCCTCCTGAGGGCTGGGATCAAAGGCATGCATCACCATCCCTAATCCACCTTATTTTGAGACAGGGTCTCTCACTGAACCTGGAGCTCACCAATTCAGCTAGATTGGCTGCCCAGCATGCACCAGGATTCCTCCAGCACTGACATTACAGGTGTACACCAATGCACCCAGATTTTTATGTGGGTGCTAGGAATCTAAACTCAAGTCTTTATATTTGGGTGGTGAGCATTTTACAGACTTGAGCCATCTTCCCAACAGTATCTCACCAGTGAATCATAACATTTTCAAACACAATAAAAAAATGTGTTTATATTCAGCTTTATAGTTTGGCCTACATTTTACTAATACTAAAAACAAGCTTATTCATTCACTACACAAATTTGGGTGTATTAAAATTTTTCAAAATGTGTAAAGTAGGATACTATCAGAAAGGTTAGGATACTATCAGAAAGGTTTATTTTCCCTTTCAGAATTTATGTCACCACATAGGCATTTTAGAAAATGTTAAGCTTCATTTTAATTTAAACTTTGTATTATTTTAACAGGCACGATGAAATGAATTTATCTAATTTAAGACACTGTGCTGGGTAGCTTTAGTGGCAACTTGACACACCTGAGTTGAGGGAGCCTCAATTGGGGAATTGCCTCCATTGGACTGGCCTGTGGCCATGTCTGTGGGGCATTTTCTTGATTGTTGAGTGATATGGGAGGGTCCAGCCCACTGTGGGTGGTGCCACCCCTGGGCTGGTGGGCCTGTGTTGCACAAGAAAGCAGGCTGAGCAGGGGCCAGGGGAGCAAGCCAGTAAGCAGTGTTCCTCCATGGCCTCTTCTTCATTCAGCTCCTGCCTCCAGGTTCCTGCCCTGAGTTCTTACCTTGGGCTCCCTGATGAACTGTGACCTGGGAGATGTAAGCTGAATAAACCCTTTCCTCCCCATGCTGGTATTGGTCAGAGTACTTTGTCACAGCACATTTAAAGGACCATGAGTAGACTATCACAAAAATTAACATGTTTGGTTTAAAAGTGTCTCCTTTCATTAAAATTTTTTGTTATTCTAAGTATCTTCATAAATGGTCTAAGAAACAGTTTATCTATTTAAAAATAACTGTACTTTCAAAAAGAAATCTACTTTGAACACTACACAAAACAACTAATTTTAACTCTTGGAATATAAAAAGGTATTACAAAACCACCTCACTTTTTGTTTTAGAATTAGTTTTTAGAATTGCATGTGTGTGTGTGCATGCATGTGTGTGTACTGAAGCATGTAACCCAATGTGAGTGTAGCAATGGGACAGCCCGGGTGTTGGTCCTCACTTTCCACCTTCTTTTGAGACAGGGTCCCTGACTCTCACCTCACATAGGAATGCCATATCTTGTCTGGGTTTATGTAGATTCTAGGGATCCAAACTCAGATCCTCTAGCTTACATGGCACACGTTTTATCCATTGAGACATCTCTTCAACCCCTATAGTCATATACTTTTGAATAAAAAAGATATGAATGACCTAAATAACATTGGAAAGTCAGAATAGACAAATACCATTCATGTCCAAAACAGGCTTCAACTGGCCAGCTGTATACATGCAGTGAACTTTCATGTCTGGGAGCCAGCCTGATAGAATTTGCTCTGGTTTACCAGGATGAACTGCACACAAGAATGGTATTGCTGAGAACTGCATCTCACTCTTCAGGAGTTCCACAGGAACAGTGCAGCCATTAAAAACCTGTCTGGCAGAGACATTTGAAAGATCCAGTGACACTGACATGACTGCAGAACACCACCACCACCTGATGCAGGTCACTTTCTGGTGCAGGTTACTTAACCTGATACCCAGTATGAACTCCCTTTAGAGTAGATTCCATAGCCTATAGTTCAAGTCAAGTTAATACTGTTTTCTCTACTGCCTATAGAAAAATTTTATTAACAAGTATAGGAAATAAATATAGAAAGCAGTGGAAGCACCTATCCACTATTATGAGTGTGTTAGAGAGCATGTGTTAGGCTCCCTTTGTGCACTCCTCAGTTGCCCAGTGTGCACATAACCAATAAGCTAATTTAGTACACATTTACCAAGACTTTTTTAGGCATTCCATTTTAGGACTTTTGAATAAATAAGCCAATTTTAAAGAATTTCTAGGCTTTAAAAATTCAATTAACAAAAGACTCTTGTTATCAGTCATGATTCAAAAAGATGGTGTTGGCCAGAAGTGGCAACTTCCACATGTGCTTGCATGTATGGAACAGGATCCGAGGTGAAGAGTATACAGAAAAACATGGGAGAGACTCTGAATAGGCTTGGTTGAAAATGAACAAAGCACATAACTTTAATATAAATTACACCTGTAAAATAACCTTTACTTACAAATACTAGGGAGTAAAGTGATACAACTCTTCAAACAGAAGTAATCTTAAATAAAATAGGATTTTAGAAAATCCGATTTATTTTTATTCGTGGGCCTTCTTTGCTTAATGAGGGGTTCTACTATTCCATATACTATTCATATAACTCAACCATACACCATTTTTTAAAAATTGCAATGAAAAAAATTAATTTTCTGAGTCTAAACAACTTGGAAACTGAAATATTCTATTCCATTATATACTTGATTTTAATAAAAATAAGTTCAGTTATTATGGCAATATTTTACTGAGAAAGGCAGCTTCTGACAGCAATAACTGAATAACACATCATTATGATCCACATTAAGATAAACCTAAAATTAGTTTTTCCTATTTGAATAGGGAAGATTGGACAGGAGTGAAAAAAAATCACAATTATAGAAAAAAAATCAATGTGAATAAATGACATAAACCAAAACAGAAAACCCAAAAGGCAAATCTTCAATTAGAAAGATACCTAAAACACAATTAAAAACCCCAAAACCCAAAAACCATCAGTAGGAACGTTTTTATGAAAGCAATTTCAGAAAATAAACAGACACATATATCTTCAAATATAGAACTCTAGATCGTGATACATTCAGGACACCCTACGTTGCCCATTTAGTTGCTATAAATATGTTTCCTTAGTTCATTCTAGAGATCGCAGTTTATAGTATTTTTACATTTACTATTGTGAAAAATTAATATTTCAACTTTTAGAAGAAAACAAAATGGAGCATCTCTATCTGTAATACACAGTATGGGGTATATCTGTATTCTTCCATATTCTGAGAATATTTAAAATAAAATACGGTCAGAGATAAATTTCTAGAAAGGGTGACTGAAAACCAAGTCACCACTTCTCAGGCCCCCAGAAAAATTATGAGTAAAAAACTAATCCACTTTGTACAGTATGACAATAGACCCAGGTGTACAGTAGAGCCGGATGTCCAAAACATCAGTGCTACCAGTCAGTAAACTAGTTCCAGGACTGAATTTGGCCCGTGGAAAATTTCTGTATGGCCCTGAGGTAAGAATGGTGTTTTTATTTTGTAAAGGATTAATCACAACAATGATGTGAGAAAAAAAATCCTGTGTGGCCTGCAAAGTCTAAAACATTTAGGATCTGGCTTTTTACAGAAAATGTTTGCAGACTTTCTTTCCTACCACCATTGTAGAGTTTGGGCAGTGCAAAGCTCATTTATTTCCACATGAACATAGTAAATATTCTGAAAAAAAAATCTTCTGATGATATTTTCCTTCCACTATTTTCTTCAACATCATCAAAGTTCATCCTGTTTAATGCAGAAGTGATTGAAAAAGAAAAGCATGACTTTAGAATGTTTAGGATAAGGTAAAATATAAGCTAAGCAAAATTTTATCACAAATACCTACTGGAGCATCACATGTAACAGCCTGCTTAACGCCAACAATGGAAAAGGGAAGCACCACAGTTCCCGCCTGCCCACAGCAGATACTCCAACTAGTTTTACATACTTCCTAAATGTGGTTAGTGCTGTCAGCTTGACAGAACAGAGAATCAAATGGGCCTCTGGGGATTATCTTGATTATATGATTGAGGCAGGAAGACCTGCCTACTGTGGGTGGCACCATTCCTAGCAGGGATCCTGGACTGTATAAAATGGAGAAAGAGACCTAGTGAGCAGGCATTCATCACTGTTTTCTGGCTGTGGATGTGATCGGATCAGTTGCTTCAAGCTCCTGTCAACTTGACTTCTCCACCATCAGACTGTGAGCCAGAATAAACTCTCTGTCCCTTAAGTTGCTTTTGTCAGAGTATTTTATCACAGAAATAGGAAAAAAACTAAGACACTAAGTCATATCTGATATGTTCTTTAACTTGATTTCAATAATGGTATTTTGGTTCATAACTAATAATGTTTTTTAAATATTTAACTTTAAATAAAAATAATAAATTTTAAAATCACTTAAAAATTAGTAGCCAAAACATTAGAAAAACAATGTTTTCTCAGTATCTAATGAAACACAGAATCATTATCCCCACTATCTTTTAGATTTTGATAACATATTTGGGAATTAGTTAAGCTTTTCTCTACTGTCTACAGTTAACTGCATTATAGCAGAGCTTGGGGTCTAATGTGGTTCTTCACAGTCTGATTCTGTAGCCTTCTCCAGAGGCTGGAGCATTCATGGATTCTGGTCTAAGTGTGTCTGAGAAGGACAGACTCAAAAGGGGAGGAAATAAATCAGCTTCTGGAAGAGTGACAGGCAAGAATTTGTAGTGCTGCTTAATAGATTAAAAATTCAAGGACAGACCAAGATGATTATGAGTTTAATACACATTCTGACTATGCCCAAAACAAAAGAAACTTTGCTATCAACAAAATGTTGAAGTTCTAGTCTATTTACTAATATTTCAGTTTTATTTACATTGGAACAAAATTTAAATAATTAGCCTATATCACTTTTTTTTTTTACATTTTCATTGCACATTTTACACACTACTAAATTTATACAATTAAAGTTTAGTGGTATTAGAATTACCCAGCTGACTTCAGAACATTTTCTTCATTCCAAACTTACTAGAAGTCACTCCAATTTCTGCTCTTTCCTATCTTACCCAGGAAACCACTAATCTACTTTCTGAACTTTTTAAATAAATAGAAACCATACAATCTATGAATCATACAGTCTTTTGTGACTGGTTTGATCCACTAGGCATGATTTCAAAATTCACTACGTAGCATGGATGAGTTCTTCATTCTGAAGGCTAAAAAGACTTCATTGTATTACCATATTTTGCTTATCATTCAGTGGCTGGAAGATGGCAGTTTGTTTTCTCTTATGAATGATGCTGTTATTGGAACATTTGACGATTTTATGGAAGAAACTTACTCATTTTTTATTAAATGGCACTTGTACAAATTTCTAAGCATTTCAGTGTCTAGAGGCTATAATTTGGCTGTCATATTTCTCCAAAGTAGAAGTTTCTCCATTTGTTTAATATTCATTCTTATATGCACGCATACTAAGAATACATCCTGGTAACCTGCCAGTCACTTGTAGACTTGGCTCTCACCTTATTTCTCTTTCCTTGGCTTTGGAGAGTTTCCAATTTTCCATAAATTAAGGCAGCAATTGTTTTTGCATCTCTGGAATTTATTTGCTCTTCCCAAATATTTTTCTAAAATTAAAAACATTCATGTTTATCTTTTTAGTACTTAATCAAACCATGGCATTTCCATATAAGAAACGTGGTTAGTTATGCCTTAAAGTTCTTTTGTTTGATATTCAAATTTCTTCAAGTAAATAATGATGCAAATGTAGTTAACCCATACATGAAATAAATGCTAATGCCAGTATTATAGAATCATAAACTAATTTCTGGGAAAAATGAATCACTGATTTCAAAACCTTCAGAAGCATTTAAACTGTATATGGAAAGGTCCTGAAATCATTCCAATCTGTAGTAGGAAGTCAGTGAAGGGCAGGAGTGGGTCAATGTATCCAGGCCTGCTCACAGATCTGGAGCCAGTGGTTTCCTTCCAGTGAGCTCCAAATTTCAAATGGTGTCCAAAATGTGTATAAACAACACAGGTGGTTTGTACTTATGTGTGATGGTTAGTGTTAACTGTCAACTTGACAAGATCTAGAACTATGTAGGAGACAAGCTATTAGGCATACCTGTGAGGGATTATGCAGACAAGGTTAACTAAGGTGGGAAGACACACACTAGACCGCATAAGAGGGAGAAAGCCAGCTGAGCACAAGTACTCATCACTTTCTGCCTTCCTGATTATGGATGTGCTGTGACTAGCTGCTTCAGGCTCCTGCTATGTTGACTTCCCCACTACAGTGGGCTGTAACCTTGAGGTGTGAACACATTCTCCTTTCAGTTGCTTTTGTCAGGGTGTTTTATCCCAGCAAAAGGAAAAGAAACTACACTATTATGATTACTCACTCTAATTATTATTCTGACTTGTCTTTACTCTCTGGCCTGAACTCTGGATCACTTGTCTTTTGGTTTGGAAAGGGACATCTGTGTCTCGCCTTTGTCCTCTGGACATATAGTAACAGCAACTTTACAAACAGTTCCACTATGGCCTGGTTAATTCTGAGACTGCTCATTATACTGAACCTTCTTAGCACTGTTCTACTTGAGTAGGACCCCAACTTATGTCAGCCACTAATTTTGGAAAACATTTTTTTTCTTTTGGGTGGGGGTCTGGAATATAGCTCAAGCTGGCCTCAAAATCCTAATCCCCCTGCCTCAGCCTCCACAGATAGGGTCACAACACCCAGCAAAACAGATACTGAAGAGACCAAAGATTTGGTCAATTTACCTTCACTGTGTTCTATTTTCGTCATAAACACGGCTAGCTTCCTGACAAATCAAAAAACTTGAATGGAAAACCTAGATTTGTGAAAATTTTAGATTTCTCAAATTTATCACTCAATTTCTTTAGCTACTTTAAAATATATAACTATCAATAAGTATCAGATCTTCACTGGATAATTCCCCTTAAAAAGTATAAAATCGACTATTATCCTCAGGCCTCTTGGGGTAAGTCTATAGCGCAGCGCTCCGCGCCGGGACTCCCTAAGCCTCATTCACCCTTCCACGCCACGCCCCACCCCCCTGCCTCCCGCCCGCCGTTCTATACTCTAGTTTGGACCCTGTGCCATTCCTAGTCTTGGGGCCCCAGACACCTGGGGAACCAATACTGTTTCCTGATCCTTCTCACCCAGAGCAACTCAGGCCCTTTCTTGGGCTCCAGGAGCACCGCTTCTGGTCCTGGCCCTGCCCTCATC